CTTTCTTCTTCCTTGACGTCCTCAGGACGGCGTTGGACTTGGAGATGGCATTAAAAAAATTCAGGTCTTCTAGCTGCAACTCTGTCGCGTTTCTGCGTCTGTGCTGCACTTGGCCTCGCCAGTTCTGTAAAATCACCTCGCAGAGGTGTTTAATCTTTCCTTAAACAAAGTCGTGTTCCCCTCCGCATGAAAGTCTAAGTCTGTTGTTGCTTTTGCCAAGTGCCCGATCTCTCTACTACCGAAAATCACCTATTAGCTCATCGTCTTTCTAAATTCAGTGTCTTCTCTATATAATTTTTCTTTTTTGCTTTTCCTGCTCATATATATCATTGAAATGCCTACTTCATCTGACCAAACACAAAATCCAAACATTCGCTACCACTTTATCTCTCAGTCTCACGAACTTTCTATCATTAATTCTCAAACCCTTTACAGTTCAACAGGTGATACTAAACTATCTTTTCGCCCATTTTAGCTCAAGGAAGTCCATATTTTTCTCCCTAAAGCTTACGCCGTATCACAACAAATTAATTTCGCTGAACCAGTAGTGCGTAATCTTACTGTTTTTATGAGCAAAAACACCCAATCTGAGTTGTCACTAATAAGGTCTGAAGAAGCTTTGACTCATTTTCACACGGCTAAACATGAAAATTCCTTACTTACACTTTTTTCACCGCAAATCTTTCTTATCATTATCAATACACTCGTACTTCCAGCAATTTCATAGAAACACACGTTATAATTCAATGTATGACTACTATTACTATTATCTACTATTTAATGTAACAAGTACAAATATTGTTGTTCTTAGAAATTCCTTCTATTGATATCGCGATTATTTTTTAAATTATTTTGTATATAATATTATTGTCAATAATTGAAATTGCTCAAGTGCAAACAGGGTTCACCATAACCCTAATAAAGTATTTAAATCTTAAATTTTGTATATTTCTCTCTCTCTCTCTCTTTCTCTTTTTTAACCTGTCTCTCATACAACTCACTTAGCGCTCGATCCAAGTTCTACACATGCTCCTTTTGATCGAAGGGATAATAATTTTGCTTCGACCAGCACAGGCTATAATTTACACAAAAATCTGAAATTATAACAATATTGCATTCAACAGAACGCGCAAGCATCAATATAATTTCTGTCCAGATTGTGACGTGATAATAAAAAAATGTACAACCTGGGGTCCTCTCTCTCTCTCTCTCTTTCTCTCTCTCTCTTTCTTTCTTTCTCGCTCTCTCTTCCTCTCTTTCGCTTCCTTTTTTTCTCTTACCATGTACTGCACGAATAATAAATCAAACGAATCAATCAAAGCTTCAATGAAAAAGCTATAACCAAGTGAGTGAACATAATTGCCGATATAGCTCGTCCAAGTCTCAACATCTTCAAGTAATTCGCAACTATCCCGCAAAATACCTGATAAAAGCTACAAGCTTTATAGCAAGCGCCTTCGAAATATATAAGTTTACTCTCTTTCTCTCTCTCTCTTTTTCTTTCTTTCGCTGATCTACCGTAAAAAACAACTAACAAGAATATGTATACCATTTTGTTCATGTTTATAGAGTTGAGAAAAGAAAAACAGATTGCTGCATGAAAAAAGAAAGTTTTCGCGCGTGGTCAGAAGTAGACGATGGCGATCTTTGGCGTTACATGGAGAATGTGAGGTCCCTTGAGGCTATCTCGGGATATACGAGGGCGTGTGAGTTCAACTAAGATGAAGTCTTTCCCTCGAAAGTGGCAGTAAAAGACTTGACCGAGCTCTGTCGTGCTTATGTGAACACCTAAATTTAGGCTGTCAGGCTGTGAATGTCAACAGATGAACGCTATTTCTTCTGTAGATTCCTAGACCCTGAAATTTGCCAGACGATTTGCACAGTGGTTTCTAAGACCTAATACCACCTCTGCTACAATCCTATGGTTTGACTTCTTTTCAATGTATAGATCAGAAGAATTCGAACAAATCATAGAAAAAAATAATCATGCTTCAAAAAGGCCTAATTTATTATATACAGTGATTAATGGAAAAACGTATAAGGGACCTTTTTTGTAGGGTATTTTTGAAACTTTTAGAAAAAAAAATGATATGAGCAGTAAGTACTCGAAAAGTTTGTATCTATCCAGAGAAACATAAAAATCCAAATCTAATCGAGTTTGATTCGGACTTGCGTCACTAAAAGAATGAACATAGCTTCCTCAGAGAATCAACAGATACCTCCTAATTCGTGTAATGTACCTTTTAGTAGTATAGTCAAAAAAGTCCAAGGGCACAGAAAAACATACAAAAAGCATCGAAAAAAGGCCATATAAGTTAAAAATCGACAAAAGTAGTCATAAGTTACTCCCTTACTGAGCCAGAAATTATTGAAATGTTCGCGGTAAACGTTAATTTCAGAAAAATGTCTACTTCTAGCTTTGGAAAAAGGGTGATAGACACTTTCAAAAATTCTTATTTAGGACTTTATAGAATCACAAACAAGTTTTTTCAAGTTAGAGGTAAAAATTTTCTTAGACATTCGATTTCACTAAGAATGCCTAAGAAGTAACAGTTGAACAGCTACACGCGTTATTCGAATTAGGGGCAAATTCTCCGACTACAGGGTTTTCGTGTACGGTATCACTTTGTAATTTAATACCGTCTGCTAATTCGTTTGTCGGTAGAGCGACTACACACAGAAACTCTAGATAAGAAAGTCGTTTCGAAGGCATAGTCTCGCGTAAACGCTGAAGTGTATGCATGTATGTATGTATGTATGTATAAAACACAGTGGCAATAGCACAGAAGAGAACAGGACGATGAATGGGTTGAGCGGCTATTTAGGAGACTGCCCGCGATCTCATTTGTCAGCGTTGAGGGTCACGCATTACGCGCACATGCAGTAGAAACTCGTGATGCTAGCGTTGAAATATTGAATGTTAAGTTCGAGAGTAGATGATGCTTTGACAAATCTTTTCTTTCTGATACAAATTTAGATTGCCATCCAATAACTGAGTTTATTTGTCTTTTCGAAACTTCAATTCATTGAATTTCCTATTGACTTTGGTCGAAAAGAAGTAAAAGAAAATGAATATTTGATTTCAAAAGAATTTCATTCACTTATTTTGTTTTGTGATTTGTTGAAAGGCTTTTTCCCATTTTCATATTTATCTAAGGTTTACATTTTTAAAAATTTTTTATCAAAATACTAAATATCAAATCGTTGTGATTTTTGTACAATGTATTTGAAGAAAATTATTTTTACTATTTTATCGTGCGGCAGTTGAAGTTATATTTTCCGTTGATTTGGTTGAGGGCTTTTTGATGAACCACTAAAATGAAATTCTTTTAAATCAAATATTTTTATGATTATAATTTATTTTCATTCAAAGAATTTATCTGCTTGGAATCAATAAAAAGTTCAAAATATTTATCTGCAGGATCTAAGCATTATAATCATCAATAAGATCTAGTAATAGAATAAGAAAATACCACTCACTTTTTCGATGATACATTTTATCCAAAATGTTGATTATTCAACATTACTATTGATTCTGAAGTTATTCATTTAAAACATAGTTATAAAAATAATGTAGTTTTTGGAAAATACATTTTATTGGAAAGTGCACTTACATATTGTTCTATGATAAGTACGAAGTGTTCTGAGTTAAAGATAAGCAAAGAAATCATTTTTAACTAATTTTTTTACAATAACCGCAATTTATCAGTAAAATATTTCAAATATTACTTTTTTTGTACTAGTAGAAAAATAAAAGATAATATTCGATCATTTGTAATTAAAATTGTAAATACTACTTACTCACTGATTGATATAGTAACTGATTCGTCTAAGACGTCATGATTTCAGTAATTAGCAGGTAATATTAATAAATGAAAATATATAATTTTTTGTTAGAAAAAACATTTTATTATGCTTAGCTATCTATTTTACACGCATGACGATTGTATTTTATTGGCATTTCAACATTGGCAGTTTATTTCATCTCCTGTATGAAAAAATTTTACTTAACAAGAAAAACAGGGGTTAGATGTACAAATGAAAATGACAATAATCGACACAAATTCACGATCTGTGTTATCAGTTAGTTTTCTTGGAAATTTGATATGTTTAGAAATCTTTCAAACCTTAATTAATAATTTTTCACTAATATTATACTGATATACTGATTACGCAAGGAATCGTTGAAATTTCATTAAGCCTAATCATTGAAAACTCAATTTTACATGATCGTTCAAACTACATTTTACTTTTGGTTAACACTTTCTTTGATTAGTTATACATCGTCAATGCACTGAGACATTTCATTTCCTTAAATAAATTATTCTCTAAGATTGTTTAACGGCAAGTGAAAGTTTACAAGGAATATTTGTCTATAATACACAAACACATACTGCATACTGCAAACTCATGAGACTTTGTTAACATGAATAATCATAGATGTTTTGAGGGTTAATAAAGCAATATACAAAAGCACAGCATATTTGATTATCCGTGAACGAATCGAAGCATTATGAAAATTACAATTTAATTAAGGGTGCTTTTGTATACTACGTTTAGCTACTCATTTTATACATATGAATTACATGTGATAATTTTTTTACTCATTATGTTTACTATTTATGTACAATGTCACACTCATTAAACGAGTTGATTCAGTATAGAAATTAGTTTTATTTATATATTTATATATTCATTTTATATATAATATATAAATATAAATATTATTGAAGATATCGTTAATTTTTGAACTATTATAACAAGTAGCCACGTACTTGAAACGAAAAGAATTTCGTAAATACTTATAAAATCACTTGAAATAATCATCTATAAATTCTGAATTAAAAATATATTACTATTTTTATTCAATTCTTTGATTGATTTTTTTAAAGAAATCTTTTTTTGCTTTTATAACGTGACCAAATGTCTACGTAAAAATATTTTAGAACATCGCTTATATCGTCGAATCATTAAAATTCACGTATATGTATTGCGTTGTAACAAATTTTTCAAAATTGGTACTCTCAGTACAAAATTACAGTGATTCAAGGCACTGTAAAAATCAACAGTTTTCAGTCTACGTGAGAAATATAAAAAATAAAATTATTGATCGTAAGCGACTTTCGCAATTCGGCAGTGATTTAAGAATTGTTAATCGATTTTGAAAAGGTTTTTTGGCATCTGTATTTCTCTTTATATGGAATAATATATAAAACTTTTGCATTTACTTTCCTCGTTCTATTATAATCATATGTTCATAAAAACACTAACAGTTTATGCATATGTGACCAATTTCATCACGATATACGATTCACGAAACAACAACAATTAGTAATAACATCATTCTTACGTATACACCTTCATTATTTCACAGGAACAAAGCTTAGATCCATGTGGATCTCTAGCAACCCTTAAAGTGGAGTTTCATCATTCCTCAGTTATCTACTTGGTGATATCTTCGTCGACGGTCATACTGCACTACCAGCACAAAAGTTACCTTTTGCGGATGCTACTTGACCAGTGTTTCTTCCATCGACATTGACACCTCGTCCTCGTCGATTTTCGCACTCAAGAGTGCTGAAGGTATTTTGGGCTATTTGTGTATTTGAAATGATTTTTCTTTTAGGATTTTGCAGTGTCATACTACGTTGATTTGACGAGCTGGTTCCCGGTTCGGCCACCCTCAGCATGCCCGAGTGTATGGTACCGCAATTTTGGTGGACATACTGCTGCGACGCTTGAGTATGTCCTTGGCGATGATGCGGATGATGATGTTTCAGAGTTATTGGAACGGTTTGACCGGCCAAGTTATTGTACCTACTATCATAACCATATTGAATATCCAAGGAGTCGACTACTATGGAGTGTTCTCCGTTTGCAATAAAATTGCCAGCTTCCTTATCGGCAAATGCTAAAGGAGGTTGCTGCTGTACCGACTGTTGTTGAGGCTGGTCGTTGGTTACAATTGTTGTCGTTTCCACCGGTGGGAGAGGAAAATCACTGAATCTCGCCGGAGGCTCTTGACAGCTTGGATGCTCTTTGTCTTCGGCAAATGTTACCACGTTCTGTCGAGGTTCCGACAGTAGCCTTGAATCCACGAGGTTACCTTCTTTATCGACATAGCCGCTAGGTCGAGAATCAATCACGGCATTAGGATCGCTTTGATCTTGTACCGGAAAACTCTGCCCAGCCGCGACGAATCGCGACTCAACGATCTTTGTCTCCGGGTAGGCCGGCAACATGTGTGCTGACAAGTCGGCTTTCTCTACGTAGCTTATGGCTGATTGGGGATTAGAAGCACAAATGTCGGGTGCAGTTTTGCACAATAAAGAAGTTCCATCTTCAGCTATTCGCATTGGACCTGCAAAAACTAAAAATTTCAATTTTTTTACTTGTTTCGAAAAAAAAAACTTGATCTGAGCTTGCAAAAATGCATGTCGTATTAAAGCTCTCCAGCCACCGCTTGCTCGCTCATCGCCCCTCATTATTATAAACTGCATATTTGAACAAATTACCTGGTGCTTTTAAAGGCTGATGATGATTATGATTCACGCCTGCGGAACAAGGAGTTGGTCCTGAGGATTTTTGATGAGCTCTAACCAAATACTCTGAACTGAGGCCTCTTTGCTCGCGCAACTTTCTCTCGGCACCAGGCACCATCACTCGCACCTACGAATTAAAGCGAAAAGTTAGCCACCAGCATAGCAGAGTTGTATACTTGTATTCCTCGTATTACACGCACACACACACACACACACACACACACACACATTTATATACAGAGTAAAATGTCAGACGTGCATACATGAGGAGAGAAGATAATGCATTCATATAAAGATGGTAAATATTAGCCTTAAACGGAGTGAGAGGTGTTGTACGTCTGTATTTAGTACACATACTTACTGGAGCTAAAACGCACTGTTCACTGGTACTATAAGCCTTGTGCCAAGCTCTCTCTCTCTCTCTCTCTCTCTCGCGTACACGTGAAGTGTATCGTAACGATAAATGCATATAATGTTTTGCTCGTGAAATACTGCACTGCCTATGCTGCATCGCTGCAGTAGCATATACACTGTTCAACAAAATTATCGCAACAAAAATGTCGATTGAATTTTCAATTTTCAAACGGTTCTATCTTCGTCTATTTTGATCGTATCGAGATGAATTTTTATATATTTTTTGGAAATTTTTTGTTCTTTAAATCCATATATATACTAGGAATGAGTTTGAGTCAATATTGAGTTATCAGTAGTATTTAAGGGCAACACTAAAAATTACTGCAAAAAATCAATTGTTGAAAGTTTAAAATAAGGGTGCTCGGGTACACGAAGTATTGGGATCGGGTCGGGTTCGGGCCTACCCGAAACTCGGTTGAGCCCCAAAATTAGGATAAGCCAACAAAATTTGGGTTGGGCCGACAATTTTTAAGTCGAATCAACTTAATCATTTTATTGTTAAACATAATATCCGAGCTTTTGAAACGATAGTGATGTTACCCATGTGAGAAAAAGAGCATTGAAAAGAGGTATATAGGCGATAGTAACTGAGTTCAAAATATTTTTGACATCGTTTGGCTATTTAATTGCATTTTTTTGGTATCATTCAAAGGAGAAGTCTTCAGTTGGGATTAAAATTTTTTACAAGAAATCTTTCAAACACAGAGTTAAGGCTAAAGCGAACAAACTTATATAAAGGTCCGTTTAGTGTGATTAAAATTAAACTCATGTTCGGGTAAGCTCGAAAAATTCGATGGGTTGGGTAAAAATGTCGGGTAGCCCGATTTTTCAGGTACTCAGACACCTCTAGTTTAAACTATACCCGTAATACAGTAATTTTTTTATCAAAATCTAACATACACCACCGCAAAAAACTCTGTTCAACTAGTAATTAAAAAAAAAGAGTTCTCTATGACATGTAGCTAAAATATTGTTTTCAATTGGAATAAAAGGGCACAAGTCCCATTGAAGACAATATTTTACCTATATGACCTAAAAAATGGGCAATTAAAGACAAATTTATCATTATTAGTACTGTATGGTTTTTTTGCGCCCTGTAGGCCGTTTTGAAGGTACCATTTGAAGTACGTAAAATGCCTCGTATAGCTAAAATTGACTTGATTCTGTGGCCCTTTGATAAACAAATTACTGTAGTACGGGAATCGAACAAAATGAAACCACATATGCTCCTTTAGAGGGATGCTCGCTCTTGGATTTCTACGATAGGTAGCTTAGACGTGTTTAAAGCTTTTGTTGAGGGTCAACAGCCCCACTATTAATGTACTTAACTGTTTCTAAGTATCTAACTGGACAAAATACTTTCAAATAGGGTATTGAAAAAGGGTTATCATGTGTGTTATTGAAAAAATTTTTTTTATTCACTTTTACAGCCTAGTACTGTAATTGAAAAATGAAAAATAATTAAGCCCCCTGTTAGCCCTTAATCGATTTCTTCAGTAATTTTTAATGTTGCACTCAAATACTACTGGTACGATCAAAATAGACAATGATAGAAGCATTTGAAAATTGACAAAATTTCGAAGGAAACTTTTGTTGTGATAATTATGTGGCGCAGAGTACTAATATTTATCACCCTTTAATACTCAAGCTATTTTTTAATTGATTCGCTTTTTTACTTTTTATAGATTTGATTAATTCTTTATTAATTTATACTTATTAATTCTTATTTTAATTGTTATAGATTTGATTAATTCTTACGAGTTACATAAAGGGCGTTAAATACATTAAGTATTACATAGTTATAGCAGAGCCTGTACTGATCGCACATCTTGACATATTCATTATTCATCAGAGGAGCTTTCACTTCTCTGATACATGAAAGAACGAAAAAATATGCGTATCCGTAACTAATGGTCAACATTACAGTTATACATATGCGCACGTGGGAGGGAAAGGTAAGAGAAAAAGAAAAGATAGATAGAGGGTTTGCGCGCTTGACAATTATTATTATCCGCATTCAGGGCACGTACCATGTCCTCGACAGTGGGAAAACGAGCCATGTAGCCGGATATAGTGAGAAGAGCTGCAACCTCGGACAGGATGAGTGCCAAGCCGGATAGTTGAAGGCACCATCCGTATTGGTAGTGAGGCAAACTCGTGTTCTCGGACTTGTTGTTGGACGAGGACGATGACGGCAACGTCGAGGACGAGCTGGATTTCTGTGGAATATCCCATGTGGCCTCTGACAGTGACGAGGCTAGCGTAATTAGACCACCACCCAGCGACAGGCCTGCAAAATACGAGCAAGAGATTATATTCATGTATATACGCATGAAGAGTCAAGTATTATGATGGTACAATTTTCCATCATACCAGTTCGATTCAATCGGCTTTTATTTTATGGATTTCGAAAATTGACCGGAAAAACAGGTGATAAGATAAACATAACTCAATTTGTTGCGCCTTTGTCTTGAGAGAAATCGAGCGCGTGCCTTGTACATTCGCTTCCATGTTCGAGTGTGTGTACGAGCGTCTTTAACGAGTTGCGGAAGCTTTAGATATATACACCCCCAAGAACTGCACTAGAGAGTATGAGAAAACAATATTGGGACTCGAGTACGGGCGCTCACTCGACTTTCTCTCCCTTGTCCCTCTTCTGCTGCTTTTTTTATCTCAACCCGCACTGTGTATCCTTTACTCTTTTTCTCTTTTTTTAGAAGCAATTCTCTAGTAAAACTCTCAACTCGTCCTTCTTTTCCTTTACTTACGCTGCTGCTGCCATTCGCCATTTTTATGACGGATTGCGCGTACTGTAGGTATATATTCTTTTATAATATCTTTATCTATATAATGGTTGAAATATGAGAGCTTTGAGAGAAAGAAAGAGAGAAAAAGGGAATTCGAACAACAGTGACAGGAGTGGCAAGGCAAGACTGATAAGTAGGATATGCGCTATGTACGCCGCGCGCTGTATAAGGGTCTGGAACAGGCAATTTCTCAATTTCCCACTAAGAAGATTTGTTATATTGCACCGAGTCTGCCTGCTGTCATGGTTTTCCGCAACAGGCACACGACGACGCTACCAGTAGCATCTTCGTCGTTTGGCGAATCACCACGAGTCCCTCTGTTTCCTAATGATGATATAACTTTAAATCGGAGAAATCGCCGTCATCGTCATCGAACTCATCAGCATAGCTGCAACTGCACACGTGAAAGACAATAGCAGGAACGATTAAAAAATTGTTTTGGTACCTAATCCAGCACTGATTGCAATATCTTGGCTACTGCCGGTTTATGTGTATAAGCATGTAATGAGATATAATTAAATTTATACTTTCATTAATGAGAATGCAAATGGGGATGGGTGTGTACGGTACGCCCCCGTAATACCTTGCGTGCAATTATTAATGGTTACGCGCAGCGAGTATGTGCTGTTGCAAGCCACGCCATCGTGTACTCTAACCGTTTGATAAACGAATTTATAACTATACCTATGCGTCGCTGCTCGCTTGAAAATTTTATATAGGATATATATATGGACAAAGCCACGTCAAGCGTGATATGTCAAAAAATCAATAGAAAGATCATTGAAAAATTATAGTTCTCCAAATTTGAACCCTCTAGGTCTATCCCTCATGAACCTACAGAATCTCATGACTTACGATGTTTTATGTAAAATTTGATAACGACTTCAAATTCGTAACAAAACAATCACACTTATAATATCTAACCCCCTCAATTTAAAAAATAGCATGAAAGTCTAAAAATAAGGTTATCCGTCTTTTTTTATTACTCTAGAATTGAAATATGCTCTTCGAAATGTCAAAATACAATTTTTTCAAAAATGTTGTGATCAACTGACAATAAGATACTATTTGACAGAGAAAAATGAGAGAAAATACATGTTTCTTTATCCTTTGACTGCTGCAAATTTTATGAAAAGTTGTATTTTGGTCATTTGAAGATTTATACACTGCCGTCCAATCACTTTTGCCATACCCGAGCTAAAAATTAGTAAACTTATCAATTATTATTAGTTTCATTAGTGGTTCAATAGTAGGACTTGTAGAAACAATCTGAGACAATAGATTTTACATGACCTTGCGATCCGTGTTGTTAAAATTGTCCAACGTGAAATTTTCACGAAGATAAGGTTGTTTTACTACGGTCAGATATTGCAAAAGTGATTGGACGGCAATGTAATATAGTACATTTACAATACACATGCCCACACACTAAAAAGAATAATATAATTAAATTTTATGGCTAGAATCGTAGAATTCGACGGTATTCTATTCTTTTTTGTGTCCGCGTGATCAAAAAAGTCATATACAATATAAACAAGACTGTTTTTTCTCGAATGAATGTTAATGGATCGGCGGATATACCCATATACATATTTATATAAAATACACAAGCCCAGATATGTTCATGTGCGGAGGCTGCGTAACGTTTCAGCTAATTGAATTGAGAAAGAGAAGAAAATTACCCAAATATTGTGAGTAATATTTGTTATTCGCTATCTAAATCATTTGTTAACTCATTATGTATGCTATAATTTTTATCGCAAATGTGAAATGATTTTTCCTAATCGTGTAGATTAGGAAAAAAATGTTACTACTAATGTATAGTAGTAATATTTTTTTTTTACTTATTTTTTGCATAAAATATTTTTTTGGAATAATTTTTTTCCAATAATTTTTTTAATAAGGTAAAAGCACCGATTATGGAACGGTATACCAATTTGTGGAATATTAGCATTTACACCCGTATAAATAAAGTTTTTGTTGAAATTTTAGCTTGAAAGCAATTGAAAAGTATCAATTTGCATTAGTATAATCAATAAAAAATGATTTCGAAGTTAACTGTTTAATAATAATTTTATCATGGAATAAATTAATCAAGTGCGTCTGAAAAGCGCGTTCCATTGATAGGGACACCCAAAAAAAGCAGTGTCCCGTTAGTGAAACAGTACTGGTTAAGATCGCCCATTGATTTGTTGTTTCCAATATTGGAACAATCGTTGATTTCGTTGATCCTTTAATGGAACGCGCAAAGTTTGCATCTGTTCCATCATTAGGTACCAAAGATACTTTGTTAATATTACTTATATAAATAAATAAGAAAATTAATGACAACTTTAAACACAGGGATTTCGATATTAAAGGTACAGCGCATCTAATGATAAGTTGATTTTAAAGTTTTATCAATTTCTCAAGTAGATACACGTGTTTGATAAAAAGCTGCCTCAAAACCGTACCATAAATGGTGTTTTTACCTTATACTTTTTTAAGAGGAAAGGACCAGAAATGTACATAAAATAAAAAAAAATTATTTTTTTCTTTATCAATATTTTCAATAGGATTTTTCTTCAGCTTTTCAGTGCTGTGATCAGATTTTAAAAATTTTAACTATATGCTAAGATACAGCCTATTTAGTACTGCACTTTTATAATAAGTAAAAATGAATAAAACGATTTAAAGCTAATATATGTATCTTGGAACTTTTATAAGTCTATAGCGCCATCTATTGGTACTTTTTTAATTCTTTGGTTAGAGTACACCAAGCAGAAATAATTTTGTTTACATAGCTATAGCGTGTACAGTAATGCCGTCACCCGAAACCCGTGGCTTTAGGCATATCTTCTGTCTCTCAGATTCATGCGTGAACCCACATCAAGTGTCAACATCGTGCTTCTAGGCTTTACAGTGGCTAAATATTATATTCTTTTGAAGGGGAATAAAGTATATAAAGTGTACAGTGCAATGGTAAAAATTGTATTTGCACCTATGTAGCGAAAAAAGAAAGTCTCAGAGCACGTTATTATTAGCCTCGGTTTCGCCTCGGATGATAAATTACACGTGCTCTGAGACTTTCCAGTTTTTCACTCCCTAGGTGCAAAATATACTAATTTTGAGAATCTCCCAGCCTAAAGTAACATTTTCATTTCGCTCAGCGGGAGTAAAATGTTACTTTAGGTTGGGGTGGCACAAAAATATACTATTTCATGCTACCCCAGCCGAAACTACCCTTTTTCGTCCCTGCGGCCAAAACGAAAATAGTAGATTAAATAACGAGTTGGAACACCTACTCCGCACGAGTTAAGTATACTATTTTTTTATACAGCTGCGGAAAGTTCGTTTTTCCGCACGCTTACGCTGTAGCCACAGAACCGGGATCTGTTACTTTCGAAGCATCCTACTGACTGCGAAAATAGTACATTACGTCATTCGTGCGCTAAGTGACAACATTACAGGAAAGGCTTCTTATTGAAGAAAAGCGCTTCACAGAACAAAACAATCAAAACGATGCTTTCGTCGCTTCGTACACTGGAAATCGCGGATCGAAAAAAAAACTCAATAGTCGACAACTATCAATACAGCCAAAGAACAGTGATAGCCAAGACACAGAAGTTACATGTTATTATTGTAAAGGCAAAGGACATTACGGCGATCTAATAAATAAACCAATCATAACGACAAGAATTACTATGCTCATGCCTTTACAGCAACTTTAAATGAATATAACTCAACAAGTTTCTTTTGCGCTACGATCGTTGAGAATATCGAAGCTGTATTGCTAGTCGTGTAACGGGGATATTGATAGAGGTAGATAGATAAATATATGGGTAAGGCTCAGAATTTTTTAAATAAACCTGCGCTCGTATGTCACCGATCTTGACGCGCTTTTGGTATGTTATAGTACATGGTAAAAAAGACCCAAAACCAAAATTTTAGACCCCCTCCCCCCTCCTACCCCCCACTTCCGGTATAAACGTCCATTTTCTATCTATATTTTTTCTGAAGGCCTGAAGCAATTAAAAAATCTGAAAAAATTCACAAAAATACTTTTCAACAATCCAAACAACCTTGAATTTTTTCAGATTTTTTGAGTGCTTCAGGCCTTCAGAAAAAATTATTGAAAATTTTGAAAATTCATATACGGCGCTACGATGCAATACAAAGCCCGATCTTTTTTTCCACTTATTTTTGACATCAAAATACATAACCTCAAATTTTTTCAGATTTTTTCAGACAGAGCGCTGGCGGTTTTTAGCCGAAAAACGCCCTTTTTTTACGAAAATAATTTTTTTAGGGCGATATGAAGCTTTAAAAAATCTGGAAAAATTTTTTTCTTGTTTTTCAGGTCAAAATACATAACCTTGAATTTTTTCAAATTTTTTAATTGAAGGCGATAGCATCTATGGCTAAAAAACGCTATTTTTATGAAAAACGGTTCCTGGAACCCAGAGGTTCCGGTAAAAAAATTTGAAAAAATTTTTTTCGAATT